AAAGGTAGTAGGATCTGTGTCCTCAGATGAAAGTAGTAGGGCAGGTGTCATAAAGACAAACTTCATAAGACAGGTGTCTTTTTGTACAAGTTTCAGATTAGGCTCGATGTCCTAAGGGAAAGTTTTTTACCATCCTAATAAATTTGTACCCATAGACAAAAGAAGGTGAGTTCTGAGAAGAAACTTGTTTTCTCACACAAACTGGGTATGTTTATGTGCCCTCAGAAGTTTGAACCCTTAGATAAAGGAGTAAGTTTGTACACTCAGAAAAGATGGAGTTGTTTTGCACTCTCAAAAGGATTTGTACACTCAGCAAAAGGAGTAGGTTTGTACCCAAAGACAAAGGAGTAGGTTTGTACCCAAAGACAAAGGAGTAGGTTTGTTTGTACCCAAAGACAAAGGAGTAGGTTTGTACCCAAAGACAAAGGAGTAGGTTTGACCCAAAGACAAAGGAGTAGGTTTGTACCCAAAGATAAAAGGAGAAGGTTTGTAGCCATAGAAAAAGGAGTAGGTTTGTGACCTGGGAAGAAATTTGTACACACAGACAAAAGGCGTGGGTTTGTGTCTACAGGAAGAGATTTGTACTTGCACACAAAGGGAGTAGTTTTGTACCCACAGAATTGATTTCCGTACACTCAAACAAAAGAAGCAGATTGTTTGGAATGCTGAAAATCTGCATTTGCAAATGTCACAACAAGGATCTTTCAACAGGTATAGTAGCAAGTTGACATTCTCTAACAATAAGAACATTACTATCACAAAGAAACAAACTGGTGTGTCATTTGTATCAAAAACATAAGCTCGACTGCAGAACCTCCTCAAATGCAACGCAGTCTAATACATATAATATAAAGTAGTGAGTGGGATTGACTATAGAGCTTGGGTAAGGGGAGGGGTGGGGGGAAGGGGGTGGTGGGGGCAGGATATGGTTTCTTAATTACAAACAATTCACAATAGACCTACATTTGTCACACACTTTGGGTACAGGTATATTACATAGCCAGGTGCCCTGATAACAATGTCCAGCGAAGTCTAAAAAAAAAAAATTTTGACAATTCAACAAATGAGGAACAATGGGCACTGACCACATCAGAGCATTTCGGTTCTGTATTGAATATAACAGTCCAACTGACAGACCAACCACAACATAGAGTCCATGTTCTTTTACCCCCTCAGAACTGTAAGTACGTGAGAAAAAGACTCAAAACCACAGCCCAGGAGGCCTATGTTGAACCTTGGCCAAAAATACTGTATCTTTTAAAGAAAGGAAAATAAAACACTTACCAAATATTGAGCTAGTGGTTACTCCATTGTAAACTAACAAATTTCTTCCCATGGGGAAGTAAAAAAATCCACTCTTTTTTTTTTCGAAACACATTGGAGGGAGTTAATTCCTGTCGTCTGACCTGTTACCTGGTAAAGTTACACCTGTCTACCTGAACAGGTACACGGGTTTATTGGCCAGGCATTCTAATCTATTATTCATGTACGCTAACCAATCCATGTGGCCTTTGATGGCTGATCTGCTTCTGTCTTCTGTTATTGTTTCTAATGCCAGAGCTGTGTAGGCCCTCACACATAAACTACAGAACTGTATCAGATACACACGATCTCAGGGACTCCCTTGTACAAAAGACCTGTTAGTCTCATATGATGCATCTAGATCAGAATTTCAAGCACCCATCACATTGGTCTGAATTATCTAATTTGAAAAATATTTTTGAAATTTGAGACAAAATTTGGAAAAGACTCAATTTCTTGTTATTTGAAATTGTTGTCTATTAAATCTAATCAGATGCGACATGAAATTGATGACGGTATTTTAAATGGGCGTCAGACTCTCATATCATTGTAGCTTGTACAGTCATTGTTGGGAAAAGGCCCAAATTGATCAGTTTTAGTTTAAATATACTCACTATATATGTGTAGATTTCAATTCCTGACACCATAAACATATTCTATATTTATTCATACTAATTGAACGAAAAATTAATTTTCTTGCTTCACGGTTAAGCTTCCTCACCTCTTAGTGTGTACATGGTATATTGTCAGTGACTTACACAGCTAATGGTGTGGAAAAAATTTACTGTCTTTAAATACCCAATAGGGGCAATATGTTGATAGTGAGCTGGGAGGGGTAAAGAAAAGACAATGCTCCATCCTTGTCCAATTTTAAACCTCCAGGCATGCACCATCGCACACCACAATCTCACGGTCCACGTACACAATGGGTATTTACCTGTACAGGTACAATGTCTTACTCATACAAAAAAATAAATGTCTCTTTTCAGTTGAATGTCTGCACAGTTTATTATTCTCTTCACTGTGAATTTTATAATTCCTGTCAACAATATCCTCTTTAGTGAGGTGTGACGTCAACAATTTTAGAAATTATGTCATTTATCCGTGTGATCTATGACACTTTCTCTGTTCTTGAGAACTCAATTTCATAAACATTATACTGGATTAATGCTTTCACACAAATATTCATTTGATAATTCCTGTATTGCTTTTATTAAAGAATTGAACCTGGATCAGATCTATTGAGGTATTTCCTTACTTGTCCATACAAATCGAAAAACATTTTCGAAATGAAGCCACAAAGAGATCTAATTACAGTTGGGAAATCAGCCCATATCATTGTGGTTAATCTTAAAGCCGTTTTAAATGGACAATTTGCAACGAGATCTCTATCAAGATTACATCTGGGTCCTCCCAAAGCTTGATCTGATTGATTGATCAACAGGTTTGACCTTGACCCTGGACAGTTTGGGAAAAACGTTCAATTGACCTGGGATATCTCTAACTAAGACAGCTACGTGTGAAGATGAGGCAGCAGTTTTTGTCCTGAATGCTGTTTGAAAAGAAATGAAGAGTACTTAATAGTGATAAGTTTGTCTCATAATTTTTGCCACAAGGAAGCTAACTTTATATGAAATGTGATTGATTTTGCTTTCAAGTGTTGTACAACAAGGAAGCTTGTGAAAAGCCTAATATTTTTCCCACCTGTGCTGAATAGTTTTGTAATGTGTGACAAAGCAGGGTTTAAAGAAATACAACATCTGGTGTTAAATGTAACTTGGGTTTTAAACCTTCACAGCCTTAATCCAGTAAGAGTGATACTGTGTAAAAACTAATTTTCATGGTGATCTTATTTTCATGATTTTTCTGCCAATGTTGCTAGTAAAATTGTGATATGCATAACAATGTCAGATGCAGTCATGCATATCTCCTTTGTCGTAACTCTTTGGTATGAAAAACACTTTTTCCTTGATATGTATATAATATAATTAATTGGATAATTGAAAAGTAAAAAAAAAAAATTATTGATGAAGTCAAAAATTGAACCATCTACAGTAAAGGGAATACATACATTATTTGAATATACACAAGTTTGACATTAATCTACTCAAAGGGTTTCAATACTTTCATCAAAAATCACTCTTATTTGTGTTCAAAACCTAAGTTTAAAACAGTTAAAAACTGCTGTGCACTAGTAAAACTTTCCTTTTTTGACAACTCAAGCAAGAAAAATTCTAATCGATTTCAATGTCAATCATATTTAATGTACAGAAGCTATCTCAAAATGAAATATGTTGTTGGTATGTTTAGTTACAACAGTTTTGATGATTTAGTCCTAATGTGACATTTTCCATATGTCTGTCTGATATTCCAATTGACAAAAAACTCGAATGATGACAGACATGCATTTAGTAGTCATATTTGTGCTGACAGACACGCCAGTTATGGGTCATGTGACTGTGTCAAACTTCACCCCTCATGTCTACACCTTGTGAATGGACGGCCAACATGTACATAGTTAATATACTCAGGGTAAAGTACACAAATCTTCCCAAAAATCTTCATTAAATGATGTAACGTCATTTATCACAGTCGTGAAGAACAGGAGGACATTGTCCTGGATTTCCGCCATTTAAACACCAATCGCATCAGATCCTAAAAGATCTTGAAGTGGCCCGTTATTTAATGAAGATGGAAGACGGAGATACTGGTTCAGTACTGTACACCAGCCTTACAATGTTATGGTCCTGTTCACTATAATGGCCAGCCGATCAGTTCTGAACGACGGTCTCGGATCCAGACATAACCTGACCGTGTCGTACTGTGGCTTGTTTTGTTCGGTACCGATGTGTACAAGATGGCTGCTATTGTCTCGTGTGTTCGAGATTGTAGTCAGTAACTATTTACCCATCTCAATACAATCTTTTTTTTTAAACAATAGCAGATTTTAATCATCCAATATTTCTCTAATTGGTTCAATTAAGAGCTCCACTTCGTAAAATCAAGTTTTAACTGCATTCTGAATTGACAATATACATGTGTCAGCATTGATTTCGATCTAAATTGTTTACAACAATAAGAAAAATAAATCACGATAAAATACTTAACTTGACTGAGACAGAACATGGTAAAATAAAATTCACATGTTTAATCTTTGTGATCTTAGAAATAATGGAGTCAAATATAGAGAGCCCTCTCTTATCTGACCCCTAAGTATTCTGATTTAGTGCCTTGACAAACAGAATGCTGTTAATCCGTTTAATAGAAACTACCTAAAAAGACCTCTGTTTTTTCGTCATCCTGTCTACTCTGAAGAAATATCTTGTTTTCCAAAGGTGTCAGATTAGACAGGTGTTTTTGTGTTGAGATCCATTCGCCATATCATTCATGACAAAACGGAAACATTTCACAGTATAATGGGAGTATACATATATCACAACTGACTTTTCTATTAGGTTAATGAAAGAAATCTAGGGGTAATAAAATTATGTATCAACCTCATTTTAATGTTAACAGCTATCACAGAATACAGGAAAGTGAAAAAAAGTCTGTAGAATGGAAACCAGGTGATGACAGCAGCATTGCTGGATAAAGTTCAGACTGCATTTTTTGGTGTCATACCTAAAGACTAAAATGATGATAACGGTAACAAAATCTTACCTTATTTACTGAGGTTCCCAAAGAAGAAATGATTTACAGGTAGCATGTCCACATAATATCTGCAAAGACACAAAATTGAACAATTCTTTAAGATTTGGTATCAAACAGAGATCAACAGAGCACTGTACACACTGCATACAAGAGTGTCGTAATAGTTCTAACCAGTCTGTATAACAGACCACAACAGATGTACAATATAAACTCCAACACTTCTGAAAAAAGAGATTGTGAAAATTGAAAAACAAAAATTCATGCGCAGTTGATGAGGGATTGATACTTTTTATCTGAAACCGTGTAAGCTTAGTCAAACCTCGAATGCAAAAGGTTTAAAATCTGAATGTCAATGTTGAAAACAAAATCAAGAAAAAAATGTAAAAGTTCTGATACACGTAGTTGTTATTGCATAAAGTTTCATTCTCAGCTATATACTTGATGAAATCAGAATCTGCAATAACTCATCTTCATACCTGAATTAAGTTTTAAATGTAATGTTTACCTGTACAAAAAATGTCTTTTTTGGGAATACTTTGATAGGTACGTGTTACATTTACCTGTAACGGATTTCCAACTATTATCAATGTGAAAAGTTAAATGGTCTCAAAATCACAGCCCATTCGACTTCAGATAAGTTTTATGATGGTTTGTTTCCGAAGTGTAATGCTATGAAAAACTATACTATAAGCATTATATTTTAACAAACAATGACCCTTTTAAAATTCAACTGATACAATTACAGCCTTTTTAAATTCTGTAAAAGGTTCTTATTTAAAGTTGATTAAATACAGAAGGTGTGTTTATATATAGATTCGGTCAGAAGCATCTCTATAATACAATTTTTATACACCTGCATTAAAGTGATATCTATTTATCTGGTGATGAGATATGGAGTTTTCCTGACGAGTTTATACATATAAATACACCTGAGACAGTACCTGATTGAGTCAGGTGTATAATTAGAGAAGATACTGGCTATCTACCTGTGAAAATATCCAGGTACAAACATCCCACTTGGGGCCGACCCGACACCAGACCAGCGGGAGGTTGGACTGTTTTGTTTATAAATTAACACTCTGCGATATGTGAGGAATTTACAGCTAGTCATGACTATAATCCCCAAATATACTCTTCACTTTTATCTTTGGTCAGCTGGGTTGATTCTGGATTCTTGGGAAGGAAGTTTGTCAGTTGTATGATGGTCGTTAGGGCAATACAGGTGTGCCTGGATACCTGTGGGTGTGAGAGAGACAGACACTTGTTAACTGCACCATTAGGCAGATATATGGGACCAGTGTCAGGGACCATTACTTATGAACAGGTCTATTCTGTATTCTGATTGGTCCATTAATCATGATGACCACTTCAAATTGACCACAAAGTGTACATCTCCAGATCATATACTTTCTCACGCTCTCATCGTTTACCAATTAGTTCTCATCCCATTTTAAAAGATCAACCACAAGATTTTGAAAATACTGTCAGATTTTAACAGTGACATGATAAATGGCAGTAAGCATTCCTCAAATATACCAGATAATAACAGCATTAAATAATGATACTGCTGGTTGTTTATTGTTAATTGGGAATCAAATATTATTGAAACATGTATATATATATATGTATGTATGTATGTATGTTGAAAATGCGGTTAATTCTCCTTGCCCAATAAATATAGAAAAAAGTTAAAACACTGGAAAAAACATGATGTAAAACATAAGCGCTTATGTATGTATGTATATATATGTAAAATGAAAAAATAGTTAAGATACAATTACTTCTATACAATAACTTTGAGACTTTACATATGTATATATATATATATATATATATACATACATATATATGTTAAGTCTCTAAGTTATCTTATAGAAGTAATTATAATTTAATTATTTTTTCATTTTAACTTCAATCCTTACTAAATCTTTAAAAATAATATGTACTTACATAAGAGTTAATAAATCCAGGTAAATTCCAGGTGAAAAACTACCAGGTGTGTTATAGGTACTATATAGTTGCTCGTTTAAGTGTTTCATGTTAAATTTTGTAACAAACAGGTCCTTTCAGTTTCCTACTGGTTGATTACACATTACAAGTAAACTTAGATATGAAAGCCTTTACTGGGATTTTATCACGAAAATATGCACAAGCGGGCAGTCTATATATCTCTAATATCAATGTTAATATATAAAGTTGCGTGAATTGCGGGATTATTTCACCTGACCTATTGATAGTGTGCAGTTTCTCATGAATAAAAATAGCCCTGACTAAACAGCGTGGGAAAGTCTTGTTTGTTGGTTATATTAACGATATTGAGTTTGCCGATCTCCAGATAACGGGTGTATATCATCATTTATCGAGGGTGGTCAATGACATCATCACGATTTATTTCCTGTCTTCGAATCACAATTCTGGTTATTAATCGGGTTCAGGTATAATTTTTTTAATGACAGAGGTCACGATTAAATCCTATACCGACCTTTCATTTACGTTATGGGGATTCTAGAATCTTAACAACAGAAAGTGAAAGTTCCTTTAAAAGCTGAAATACTTGGTCATTGGGAGTATTGTTACTTTGAATACAATAGTGGAAGACACCCACACTAACACTGCCGACCTGGAGTGTAAACATAGCCTAATAAACCACACCCCCTCTTTATAAAGTCAAACATGAAAGCTCAAGACCACTTCTCCGATTAAAAGGAACTATAAATGATAACTGAGTCTCAAATGGACCGTGTCAGTAAGTCAGTCCCCCGGTCTGTAGAACTGTATTGATATGAGGAAATTAATTGGAAAGACCAACATACCAACATGCCTGGAGTTTTTCAACCAACTTTGCTATTTACCATGTCAATTTGTAGGGTTTTGTATATTGATTTAGCTTAGAAATATCTTTTTTTTTTCAAATTCATATTAAAACCTATATTAAAATTTGAATTAATAAAACATATTGTTTGTTTTTCACACGTCTTCAGCACTTACATATCTTTTATTTACCAAATCTATATATAGGGTTTGGTACATGTATCTTGATTTACCTTTAAAATGTTTTTTTAGAACTCAATCTATTGATATCAAAAAGCATGTTAAAATCTGCATTATAAAAATTTTGTCTTTCATATGTCATATAAGAACTTAGTTATATGCAGTTAAAACTTAAATTGAAAATGATTGCAATTAAAATTTCAACTTTTCTCCAATTTCATTCTGATTTCCTGTTTTTTTTAACCTACATGTAGTTTAAGCAGGAAAAGCTGTGGGTTTAGGTCATTTTGGCCCCTATTTTGGGTTTTTAGCAGACAGAGGGGCTTTAATCTATTCAGCATGCTAGTTGCCTTATCCATGTTCACACTTTCCCACCTCACATGAAATATTCAGATTAATTACATCCCATATTGTATGATTGAAGTTTCCCACAGCGACATGATCTAATACTTAAATTAAAAAAGATGTGCAGGCATTTGTGTGTAATTAGTGTCCATCCGCCGTGAGTATTTGACTTCCTGTTAGTCTAGTTACCATAGTTACTAAAATCTAACTCCTACTCCTTGTACATCTTAAGGTAAATTTTCAACAAAACAATGATGGTCCTAAAATATTGACAAAAATTGGACACTATCTATCAAAGAATCAAAAGTTTTGATTTCTGTTTCAACAAATCTGATGTTAATTTCCAGCTGATGAAAATCAAAATATCTACTGACATTTATTTTTGAAGTTTTATTTAATCGCAATGGACCTTGTTCTAGATCAACATAATATATACCATATTTTACATCCACATACCCCAGGGGGTGTACATTTTTTATCAAATACAAAACATATGTGCTCGTTAAATACTTGTTAAAACTTTTATAGAGGGCTAGACTCACTAATCATATCGGAACTACACCAGAAATAAATCAATACAATATGACAGTTCTGTTTTCCTGATTAAAAAAAAAAAAAAAACATGACATGAATACACATAAAAGGTATTTCATTTTTTACACTTTATCAATAAATTGGTCACCCTCAAAAACAGTGAACAAAAAATACAACACTTTTTCCAATTTTTTTATGAAGGAAATATTTACAAATTGAAAAAAAAAGCTTCACATTTAAAAACTGTAAATGAAATATAGCAGGTTAACAAGGTAATGCCAAGTTGGAAATACAAGATAGAATATTTAGTAAGTTAGGATTACAAGATAGAATATATGCCAAGTTGGGATTACAAAATAGAATATATGCCAAGTTGGGATTACAAAATAGAATATATGCCAAGTTAGGATTACCACAAGATAGAATATATGCCAAGTTGGGATTACAAAATAGAATATATGCCAAGTTAGGATTACAAGATAGAATATATGCCAAGTTGGGATTACAAAATAGAATATTTAGCAAGTTAGGATTACAAAATAGAATATATGCCAAGTTGGGATTACAAAATAGAATATATGCCAAGTTGGGATTACAAGATAGAATATATGCCAAGTTGGGATTACAAAATAGAATATATGCCAAGTTGGGATTACAAAAGAGAATATATGCCAAGTTGGGATTACAAAAGAGAATATATGCCAAGTTGGGATTACAAAATAGAATATATGCCAAGTTGGGATTACAAAAGAGAATATATGCCAAGTTGGGATTACAAAAGAGAATATCAGTAGATTACATGATAGAATATTGGTACTGATATTCAAATGGTTAGTAAGTCAGTGTGTTGCCGTTCATCAGGTCTGTAGGAAAATGGTCATGAGGTCACCTAGTATCTACAGAATTACAATATCAAAATTTTTTACTTCTGTGAATAGGGAAACAAGATGACTTCTCTAATCTTTATACAATTTCATCTCTGTAAAACCACATTCGTCTATTAAATCTTATCTTTTATCATAATGCTAAAAAGCTTTTTTGTGTTTATTTAATAAAAAAATAAATTGTGAGATATGACTTATTCTGAAAATTACTTACAGATTACATATGATAGGATGTGTCGATTGTAGATAAATTGTGACTGGGTTGTCTGCCCTTTGTCTGGCCAAATGAGGGCCAAGTACTCTGTAATGATGGC